CACACGCGGCTCTACAGAATTGAATTCGTCAACCTGGATGATGTCTGAAAGCGGTGACCGCCGCCTTTTGCTCGCCCGATGGTCAGCGGCAACAGTAGCATCGACATCATCTCGGTTGGTATCCCCACCAGGGCGAGAGAGACACAGAGAGACACAGAGAGACACAGAGAAACACAGAGAAACACTCAGACAGAGAGAGATACTCGGTGGCAGAAGATGGGGAGCTCGGCATGCAGATCTGAGCTACCCGTCGGAGGCCGTAGGACTGCGAGAAGGGCTGCGTGCAGATGCAGCACTTGTCGTAAACAAAATAATAATTATAATAATATTACATAAAATTACATAGAAAACATAGGGGGGACATAGACATGGGGTAGAGAGAGGGGGTAGAGAGAGGGGGTAGAGAGAGAGAGGGGGGGTAGAGAGAGGGGGGTAGAGAGAGAGGGGAATAAAGAGAGGGGGGGTAAAGAGAGAGGGGGGTAGAGAGAGGGGGGGGGTAAAGAGAGGGGGGGGGTAAAGAGAGAGGGGGGGTAGAGAGAGAGGGGGATAAAGAGAGGGGGGGTAAAAAGAGGGGGGGGGTAAAGAGAGGGGGGGGAGAGAGAGGGGGTAGGGGTAAGGAGAGCAAAGCGAGAAATATTTCGTGAAATTTTTCATTTAAAATCAGGGGGGAGGGGGGGGGGTTTACATAAAGCAAAGCATTGAACAAAAAAAAATCGAAATGATGAACGAAGCAAAGTGCCGACTACACCGAGCATCTTCTTGTTTCCTCTGATCGTAAAAAAACAAGAGAGAGAGAGACATCGCCAAGATGGATGAAGCGTTGAAGAGATTTCGAGGCACAGACGACGAGGACAGGGGGGTGAGGGGGGTGGGCGCGAGTGAGATCGTCTTGAAGACGCGCGCGCGCCAGTGAGTGATAGGCAAGACCTCCTCCTCCGTGCTGAGCTAGAACGTCTTGGAAGTAGACACGGGAGATGTTCACAGCCCCACGCTTTACCCCACCACCACCATCATCATCATCATCTCCGCCGCTGCTGCTGCGTGAATAGAGGCGGTGGGGGGGGGGGGTGTAGCCCCCCGCTGTTGTTTCTGGTGCCACGCCGGGAGATAGAATCGATGATGCAGCTGCTGATGCTGATGCTACTACAGCTGCTGCTGATGATACTGATGATGATGCTGCTACTGCAGCTGCTGCTGATGATGCTACTGCAGCTGCTGCTGATGATGCTGATGATGCTGCTGCTGCTCCTGATACTGCAGCAGCTGCTGATGTTGCTTCTGCAGCTGATACTGCTGCTGATGCTACTGCAGCTGATACTGCTGCTGATGCTGCTGCAGCTGATGCTGCTGCTGATGCTTCTGCAGCTGATACTGCTGATGTTGCAACTGCTGCAGCTGCTGCAGCTGCTGATGATGCATCTGCAGCTGATTCTGCTGATGGTGCAGCTGTTGCTGGTGATGCTGCTGCAGTTGACGACGATGATGAGCGAACTGGTGGCGTCAGCTTGAAGGGAGATGTTTAAAAGATGTCTCGGAGCCGTTGATGTAATTGGGGTTTAATTGAGGGCCGATGCGTGAGATAGGGGGCCCCCTCTCAAATTAGCCCCATTAAGCGGAAATTATCCCCAGTCAAACGTAAATGTTTGTGTTTCACCGTGGAATTATAGCGTTAAGAGTGAAGATATCACGTGTGCGTGTGGTGTGTGCGTGTGTGTGGCTGGGAAGCGGTGGGTGTAGTGGTTAGCGCTACGCTGCGCAATGAACCCGGCGACCCGAGTTCGATTCCCGCTCACGGCCAACACCGGTGACGATTATCATGAACCGGTCATGGGCCTCCCCCCTAGGTCGACTCAGCCTCAAATTAGTACCTGGTGCGGTGTGTAAACATCGCTTTTATTCATTTGTATCATCTCCACTGAAACCAACACGAACACGTCTGACAACCGAGGCTCCCGTAGATTCGTCTCTCTCTCACAGGTCCTCCCCACCGCCATCATCATCATCTTCCGTTCCCGCTCACGATGGAATCGTTCCGAGGGCCAGAAGGCGAGGTTGGAGACCCTGTTATGTTGGCGAGATGTTAACTACCTCGTCTGGTATACAGGAGGTCGTGGGTTCCATCCCGACCCCTGACGCCTGCTGCTGTATCTTTGGACTTTGCGTGTCTCTCTCTCTCATCATCATCACGGTGGCTAGGAGATGTTAACTACCTCGCCTGGTATACAGGAGGTCGTGGGTTCGATCCCGACCTTGACGCCTGCTGCTGTATATTTGGAGTTTGCGTGTCTTTCTCTCATCATCATCACGGTGGCTAGGAGATGTTAACTACCTCGCCTGGCCTACAGGAGGTCGTGGGTTCGATCCCGACCCTGACGCCTGCTGTTGTATATTTGGAGTTTGCGTGTCTCTCTCTCATCATCATCACGGTGGCTAGGAGATGTTAACTACCTCGCCTGGCCTACAGGAGGTCGTGGGTTCGATCCCGACCCTGACGCCTGCTGCTGTATATTTGGAGTTTGCGTGTCTCTCTCTCTCATCATCACGGTGGCTAGGAGATGTTAACTACCTCGCCTGGTCTACAGGAGGTCGTGGGTTCCATCCCGACTCCTGACGCCTGCTGCTGTATATTTGGAGTTTGTGTCTCTCTCTCATCATCACGGTGGCTATTAGATGTTAACTACATCGCCTGGTATACAGGAGGTCGTGGGTTCGATCCCGACCTTGACGCCTGCTGCTGCTGTATATTTTTAGTTTCTGTGTCTCTCTCTCTCCCCGTGGTCGCGTGGATTTTTCTCCGGGTCCTCCACTTTTTCCCCTCCACATTTAGAATCAACAAACACGCGTTTAGAGTGTTTGTGCTGCTATAAATATCCACGTAATGATGATGATGAGAAGCCACCACTTCGTTCAGCTGCGATCATTTGTGATGATCAGGTCGCTTCTGAAAAAAGAGCGACATCGCAGCTAATTTGGGCCTTACCTGGTGGAATAAAAAATGTGTAATAGTCGTTAATTTAGCTTTCTTAAAAATATTTACATAGCGCAGTGGGGCCTTACCTGGTGAAATAAATTAATTTAACAGTCTCTATTTAAAGCTTTCGTGACTGCAGGGATTCATATTCTTTGTTCTTTCGGTAAAGTCACGTAGAAGGGAAATAATAAAATAATAAAATTTAAACAATAAAATTATCACGACGTTTCCATATTTTTTTCTTAACCGACACTTTTTTTTAAAAATTCTTTCCGTGGTTTTCACACCTGATGACGATTGCTTGTGTTGCAATCGAAACGTCATGATTTAATGGTATCGTTTTATTTTTATTATTTCCCTTCTACGTGACTTTACCGAAATAACCAAGAATATTGTTTAATAGTCGTTAATATAGCTTTCTAAAAAATAGCTACATAGCCTTACCTAGGAAAAATATATATATTTTTTTAAATATATAGTCTTTAGTTTTTTAGTGGTGGCCAAAGCTACGAGTTGGTGGGTGTCTCCTTCACATCCACCGTGAGATTTGTTTTCAACAACAGTTATTTAAATAAAAATAACAACACTTCTTGAAAATGCCGGTTTAATAATTTTTTTACGCAAATGCTCCGTTTCTTCTTTTATGGGGGGGGGGGGGGGTGTCTTGCCTGGCAAATAAGCGCCAAAGATCTCGAAACCTTCGTCTGTGCCTAAAGCAAAGACGGCACCGTTTACAAGACCGGGAAAAAAAAGGAGGCCGCAAGGCGACACTGACGGCTGCTCTTGCGCTGCTGATGTTGAAGGGGCCTGTTCCAAGGCACGGCTCCAGCTGGAGCACGCGAACCACTCCAATGCCGGTGACGTGACGCGCGTATTTTTTGAACGGTGTTAGGGCAGAAGTCGCAACCGGGTACCCAATACCCGTACCCTACCCGATACCCGGCTACCCGTACCCGGCCGGGTACGGGTGCCCGTTTGCGACCCTGGTGCGGCCGGGTACGGGTACGGGTAAGCCGTGAGTCACTGGTGAGTAACCGTTTGTCACTCATTTCGGGTAGGGTACGGGTACGGGTAGGGAACGGGTACCCATTTGCGACCCTGGTGCGGCCGGGTATGGGTAAGGAATCAAAACCCGTTTGCGACCTCTGTGTTAGGGGCGGTCAAGCCCTCTGCACCAGCACCAACGGCACTCTGAATTGGACTTCCGAACGAGCTTATTGGTCGCGCGTGGCACGTGCAGCGCCACGTGACCGCGGGCCGTCTTTGTGACGTGCGCACGTGACGCTGTACTCGACGTGACGTGTATCGAAATGGGCTGCAGTGCTGTTTGCTGCTGGTAGAAATTAAGTTGATTTACAACTTTCTCGATCTATCTCTCGATATCTCTCTCTCTCTTGCTCTGGCAGTACGAATACTAAAATTGGAACGACACAGATAAGATGAGCATGGTCCCTGCGAAAGGATGACACGCAAATTCGTGAAGTGTTCTCTCAATCTCTGTCTTTCTCGCAAACTCTCTCTCTCGATCTCGCTCTCTGTATCGGTCTCTCGCTCCCTCTCGATCTCGTCCTCAGTATTGATCTCTCTCTGTCTCGCTCTATCGCTCCCTCTCGATCTCTCTCGATCTCGCTCTCTGTATTGATCTCTCTCTTTTTTTTACGATCAGTGGAAACAAGAAGATGCTCGGTGTAGTCGGCACTTTGCTTCGTTCATCATTTCGTATATTTTTTTTATAATAACTTTGCTTTATGTAAACCCCCACCTCTCGCTCACTCTCTCGGTCACTCTCTCGCTCACTCTCTCGCTCACTCTCTCGCTCACTCTCTCGGTCACTCTCTCGCTCACTCTCTCGCTCACTCTCTTGCTCACTCTCGTTCTGCACGCAGCCCTTCTCGCAGTCCGACGGCCTCCGACGGGTAGCTCATAACTGCATGCAGAGCTCCCCGTCATCTGCCACCGAGCACACGGCCTCCTCCATCGCCCACTGCTCCTTGAAGGCCGGCACGCTCTCGCTCTGTCGCCCTCACAGGAGCTGCGAGATCGTGAGACGGTGGTCGTGAGCCAGGTCTCCATGGCCACGCGAGGGATTTGCGAGCCTCTCAAAAAGTCTCAGAGGATTTTCCACGTGAGTCTGGTGCTGGTGGTGCCGGTGATGGTTGTGGAAGTGGTGTTGGTGGTGATGTTGGTGCTGGTGGTGGTGGTGATCATGGCGATGATGATGGTGATGATGGTGATGATGATGATGGTGGTGATAGTGATGATGGTGATGATGATGGAGATGATGATGATGGTGGTGATTGTAAGGATGATGGTGGTAATGATGGTGATGATGGTGATGATGGTGATGATGATGGTGGTGTGTTTTGGTGTCAAAACACGGCTCTGGACTTCACTGAGAGTGGGTGATGTTGGTGATGATGATGATGATGTTGGTGATGTTGATGATGTTGGTGATGATGATGATGGTGATGATGATGTTGGTGTGTTTTGGTGTCAGAACACGGCTCTGGACTTCACTGAGAGTGGGTGATGTTGGTGATGATGATGATGTTGGTGATGATGATGATGTTGGTGATGATGATGATGGTGATGATGATGTTGGTGTGCTTTGGTGTCAGAACACGGCTCTGGACTTCACTGAGAGTGGGTGATGTTGGTGATGATGATGATGTTGGTGATGATGATGATGGTGATGATGATGTTGGTGTGTTTTGGTGTCAGAACACGGCTCTGGACTTCACTGAGAGTGGGTGATGTTGGTGATGATGATGATGTTGGTGATGATGATGATGTTGGTGATGATGATGATGGTGATGATGATGTTGGTGTGTTTTGGTGTCAGAACACGGCTCTGGACTTCACTGAGAGTGGACGGGGCCTGCGGGTGGAGGCGGCCACGCCACACCTGGTGAGTGTGGGCGGGGGGCGACTCTCCACGGCCGTGACGCTGCTGCCCCTGCACGAGGGTGAGGAGCACAACAACCACAACAACAACCACCACAACAACTACCACAACAACCACAACAACAACAACCACTACCACCACGACCACCACAAAAACAACCACCACAACAACAACCACCACAACAACAACCACAACAACAACCACAACAACCACCACAACCACCACAACAACAACTACCACAACAACAACAACCACCACAACAACAACCACTACCACCACCACAACAACAACCACCATAACAGCAACCACCACAACAACAACAACCACCACAACAACAACCACCACAACAACAACCACCACAACAACAATAACAACCACCACAACAACATCCACTATCACAACAACTATCACAACAACAACAACCACCACAACAACTACCACAACAACAACCACAACAACAACCACCACAACAACCACAACAACAACCACCACAACAACCACAACAACAACCACAAAAACAACTACCACAACAACAACTACAACAACCACCACAACAACTACCACAACAACCACAAAAACAACTACCACAACAACAACAACCACCACAACCACAACAACCACTATCACAACAACCACCACAACAACAACCACTACAACAACCACCATCACAACAACCACCACGACCACTACAACAACAACCACAACAATAACCGCCACCACAAATCGCGTCGTGTTTGTTTGGGAAGCATTCGCCACAGAGTCCATGCGTGTGCCTGGTTGTTATTCCTAGATTTATTCTCCCCTCTCCCTCCCCTCCCTCCCCTCCCTCCCCTCTGTTCCACCCTCTCTCCCTTCCCACCTCCCTCCCCCCTCCCTCCCAACCCTCCCAACCCTCTCTCCCTCCCCCCTCCCCTTCCTCCCCTCCCTCCCAACCCTCCCCTCCTCTCTTCCACCCTCCCTCTCATCCCACCCTCCCCACCCTCCCCCCTCCCTCCCCACCCTCCCCCCTCTCTCCCAACCCTCCCAACCCTCCCCACCCTCCCCACCCTCCCCCCACCCTCCCCACCCTCTCCCCTCCCTCCCAACCCTCCCCACCCTCCCCACCCTCCTCTCCTCCACCCTCCCTCCCATCCCACCTCTCCATCCTCCCTCCCCTCCCTCCCCACTCTCCCCACCCTCCCCTCCCCACCCTCCCCACCCACCAACACCCGCAGGCCAAACCAGACTGGGCACGGCGGATTCGATTCCTCCTCCCGACATCGAGATCCGCGGTCCCGGAGCGCAGCGCGACCATTGCGTCATCGAGGCGCGGGGAGGCGCCATCACCCTCGTGCCCTGCGGACACCCCTGCACCATCGACGGCACCGCCGTGCGGGAGCCAACGCGGCTCACTCAAGGTGCGTGCTGGAGGTGGTGGAGGAGGTGGTGGTGGGGGTGGTGGTGGGGGTGGTGGTGGGGGTGGTGGGGGTGGTGGTGGGGGTGGTGGGGGTGGTGGTGGGGGAGGTGGTGGGGATGGTGGAGGTGGTGGGGGTGGTGGGGGAGGTGGTGGTGAAGGTGTGGAGGTGGTGGTAGTGGGGGAGGTGGTGGGGATGGTGGAGGTGGTGGGGGTGGTGGGGGAGGTGGTGGGGGTGGTGGGGGAGGTTGGGGTGGTGGGGGTGGTGGGGGTGGTGGAGGTGGTGGGGGAGGACGGGGAGGTGGTGGCGGTGGTGAGGGAGTTTACAGTGGAGGTGGTGGACTTGTGGGGGTGGGGGAGGGAGATGCAGGGGAGGGAGGGAGGGGCAGGTAAGGGGAGGTGGTGGAGGTGATGGACTTGTGGAGGTAGAGGTGGTGGTGGAGAGGGATAAGGAGGTGGTGGTGGAGGAGGTGGTGGAGGAGGTGGTGGGGGTGGTGGTGGGGGTGGTAGAGAGGGAGGAGGTGGTGGAGGAGGAGGGGGTGGAGGAGAGGGAGGAGGTGGAGGGAGGGAGGCAGCAGGAGGAGTGTTCTAGTGGCATCAACTTCCCCTGCACGCTGGGCAGTCCCCTCCTCAACCTCCTCCCGTCCCTCTCTTAAATCCTCGCTGCCTCCTCCACCGCCCTCGCCCCCCTCCCCCCTGCAGCCCCCCCCCCCCTGCAGCCCCCCCCCCCCTGCAGCCCCCCCCGCCGCTAGCCCCCCCCCCCTGCAGCCCCCCAAATACCCCCCCCCCCATCGCTGCTGCCACTCACTGCTCAGCCCCCCCCCGGCTCGGAGCTCCGCGTCGTCTCGATCGCTCCACGAACGTCACAAAGTGAGAACACATTCGGGCGGAGCGAATCGTACATATTTATATAGTACTTATCATATAATACTTATATAGTACTTATCATATACTTATATAGTACTTAGCATACACTTATATAGTACTTATCATATACTTATATAGTACTTATCATATAATACTTATATAGTACTTATCATATACTTATATAGTACTTATCACATAATACTTATATAGTACTTATCATATACTTATATAGTACTTATCATATACTTATATAGTACTTATCATATACTTATATAGTACTTCTCATATACTTATATAGTACTTCTCATATACTTATATAGTACTTATCATATACTTATATAGTACTTATCATATAATACTTATATAGTACTTATCATATACTTATATAGTACTTCTCATATACTTATATAGTACTTATCATATACTTATATAGTACTTATCATATAATACTTATATAGTACTTATCGTATACTTATATAGTACTTATCATATACTTATATAGTACTTATCACGTAATACTTAGACTATCATACATATTGTGCCGTGACCTTCTGCACCTATCCTGGCACCGTCGGTCACCCCACACCTGCTGGCTCTGTGCCGTGAATAGTCAATACGTGAATAGTCAAAAACGTGAATAATCGATCCGTGAAAAATCGATCTGGGAATAATCGATCCGTGAATAATCGATCCGGGAATAATCGATCCGTAAATAATCGATGCGTGAATAGTCACAAACGTGAATAGTCAAAATACGTGAATGGTCAAAATCGCGAATAATCGATCCGTGATTAGTCGATACGTAAATAATCGATGCGTGAATATCCAATCGACCAGCAAATCACAGAGAGAGGGGGTACGGGGGTGGATCGTCACAGGCTGTGTTACAAACCCGGAGACCCCCGAGTTCAATTCCCGCTCACGGATAACATCAGTGGCGAATATAACCTTGACTGGTTCTGAGCCTTACCATCGAACCGAGGTCGGCTCGCGATGCGGTGTGTAGCTGTCAGCACTGGGGAGACAAAGGCGGCCGGGCGTAGTGCTGGCCACCCACCCCCTCGTGTGCCGTGCCGGCCTTCATAGGTGCTCGCTAACAGCATTTGCCCCGACAGTCTGTTAAGGGTACATGGGGGATCTTTGCTTTTGTGTGAGCAGGTGGTGGGTAGGTGTGTGTGTGTGGATGAGTTGGTGATAGGGTGATAATGGTGCCTGTGTGAGTGGTCGACTCAGCCTCAAATGAGTACCTGGTGCAGTGTAGTAAACATCACCACTGGTGAGACAAAGACGGCCGGGCGTGGTGCTGGCCACCCACCCCCTCGTGTGCCGTGCCGGCCTTCATAGGTGCTCGCTAACAGCACTTACCCCTACAGTCTGTTAAGGCTACACGGGGGATCTTTGTCTTTTGTTTGTAAGAGTGAATGTGGATATATTTGAGAGTGGCTCAGTGTGTGAGTGTATTTAACGGTATGTGCATAGGTATGCGTGTGTGTGTGTCTGTGTGTACATGCCTGAGTGAGAAGCGGTAGCGTAGTGGTTAGCGCGCTGCGCTACGAACCCAGCGACCCGGGTTCGATTCCCGCTCACGGTCAACACCATTGACGATTGGAGCTGAACCGGTCCTTCAGAGGTGTGCCACGTGCTGACAGCACTTGCCCCAACAGTCTGTTAAGGGTATACGGGGGATCTTTGTATGTGTGCATGCCTGTGCATTCCAGCGTGCGCACGTGTGTGTGCGCGCGACCAATGTTTATGCCTCAAAGAAATTATCGGACGTTCTAAACATTAGCTGAGTGCCATTCATTAGACACAGTTTGTCTTGGGGGTCTAATTAAACCAAATTACGCTAAACGCTGGATGTGCACTGCATTGCTGAAATTAAATTGTTTAACATCGGCTTAAACTAAGGCTCTATTATAATCAACGAGTCACTATAGTGTTTATGTAATTATACCCCACTCTAATCGATCCACTGCTGGATGAAGGCCGCGTCGGTCATGGGAGTTGTTTGACCATACTTCACCGAATTTGTCCACTGCCAAATTAAAGATATTCAGAATCATAATATTGCAACTTGTACTGCAGGAGGAATCCGATAGGAGTGAAACGTATCGGGAAGGTAAACAAATCGCTTGCAAATATACAAATGAAACTTTTATTTATCTTACCAACTTATTTTTCAGAAGCGATTTGGCTATCACAAATGTATAACTCAACAAAGTGACTTATCAACATCACCGTGGGAATGTATACGCAGTCGCATGATCGTGAATCATCTCAATGCACAGCATTCACCACACACACGCCACACACACACACCACACACACCACACACACACCACACAAACCACACATACAGCACACACACACCACACACACCCCACACACCACACACACACCACACACACCCCAAACACACGCCACACACCCTACACACACACCCCACGCACACACCCCACACACACACCACAGACACACACAACCCCACACACACACACCACACACACACCACACACGCCACACACGCCACACACACACCTCGATGTGTTTACCACACACCGCACCGGGTACTCATGTTGAGGCCGAGTCGACCTAGGTGATGCCCAGGACCGGTTCAGATAATCGTCACCGGGAATCGAACTCGGGTCGCCGGGTTCGTAGCGCAGCGTAGCGCTAGCCGCTACACTACCGCTCCCCACACACACGCGTACACACATACCACACATACACCATGTGCACACACACGCACAAGCACATACCACACACACACACTCTCTCTGTGTTCATAAATATACACACAGCCACATACCACGCGTACGCACAAATACAAAGATGCCCCGTATAGCCTTTACAAGACTATAGGGGCAGGTGCTGTTTTGCAAGCACCTACACCAATGCCAATATCCGCATGTGCCAGGCCAGGTGCACTTTGAGGCTGCCACGTGAAGTGTCGAAGGATCGCTGGCAGGAGGTCATGGGAGAGATCCCAGCAGGTGCCATGGGTTGACCGGCTGAGATGACCGGTAGATGCACACCAGCTGTAACCCATGCTGTGCCAACCTGCTACGTTTTATCCACCCGGCGCTTCGCTCGTTGTTGTGAGCGTCGCTCCTCTGCTATCCACTGTTGCTGGAGGGCGACTGCCTCCAACTGCCCAGTAGCAGCGTCCTTCACGAGCCTCCTCCAAAGTGGTCGATCCTGACACCGCTGGTACCAGTCATCAGCAAGTCTACTCAGATCCACGTCACCCCGTATGACATCAGCTCTATCTCTTCACCAGCCAAACCAAAAGCTCTTTGGGCACGCGGTGGCTTGGGCATGCGGGCTACATGACTCCAGCCAATTCTGACACCGCTGGTGCCGATCATCGGCAGGTCCCACTCAGCTCCACGTCCTCCCGTACTGCATCAGCTCCATCTCATCTCCAGCTCGTGTCGTGCCCGCTAAGCCCGCTATTCTATACGGCCAAACAGAAGCTGCTGGCACCTCCATATACGCACGGACACATCCCAGACACATAACAAGAATACTGCGAAACACACACACACACCGTGTACACACACACACCATGTACATACACACACACGGTGTACACACACACACCGTGTACACACGCACACGGTGTACACACACACACCGTGTACACACACACACCGTGTACACACACACACTGTGTACACACACACACTGTGTACACACACCATGTACATACACACACACCATGTACACACACACACACGGTGTACACACACACCGTGTACACACACACACACTGTGTACACACACACGCTGTGTACACATACCATGTACACACACACACGGTGTACACACACACACACACTGTGTACACACACACTGTGTACACACACACACACTGTGTACACATACCATGTACATACACACACACACGGTGTACACACACACGCACTGTGTACACATACACACACCGTGTACACACCCACTGTGTACACACACACACCATGTACATACACACACACGGTGTACACACACACACGCACAGTGTACACACACACACCATGTACACACACACACTGTGTACACGCGACCTCCGTGCTGAACGGGTCCATCTGATAAAGGCAGGAATGCGCGTGGCATTCCTCACGGAGGGAGATCCGT